TCTTCATATGTCAATTTAACCTCCGGCACATAGCTTTGAAACCATGTAAGGATGCCTAACACTTTCCATATGGCAACTGAATTGTGGCTTTTAATTGCACCAACTGGTATCATTCAAGGATAATTCCCTTGGAATCCAGCTTTCTGCTACAGTATTGGCCAATTCACTAATCTCATCACCATGGCACTAATACTTTCAGAGACTCTTTGATTGTTAATATTCATATTATAATTTTCCCAACCAGAGCTGTCAAGATATACTATGTGCACCACTAATTAAATTATCTTGGTTTGTTGGCACCAAATTTCAGCACTAAATAAGATTCTGCTTCTCTCTCTTTCAATGCAAAGTTTGGCAATTTCATTTTCAATGCCACACACAATCTTTTGTGTATCAAAACATTTTTTTAGCGATACCAATATCTAGCACTGCTGTGCCTGTTGTTTCTTTTAATCCTTAGGGACAATACAAATAATTATCTATACGATACTGACATTAATGTACTTGAAGTGATCTTTTAAATTGAAATATTTTCAAGTAGTCACACAAGATAGCACCAAAGGAAATTTTAACTGCTCTTGTCACCATATCAGTACGAAGGCAGCCTTGCAAATGTCATTCTACCCATGAGATGACCCCAAAGTAGTGCTACAATTAAATCTTCCACTTCAACAGCCTTTAAGCCATAGTAGATACATACCACTAAAAAAAGGTCTCTCTTCTGTTTGTTATTTTCATTTTGGATGAATGACCTACCCATCTGTGTCTTCCATAAGGCTATGTATTTTTATATGTGCACAGAGACACGCTATTTAACAGTGGGGGACTAGGAAGGGCTTTTTTTTAAGAAAGCTCAGGCTAGAGGAACAGTGAAGTTGACACTGGGATAGTCTCCTCTCAGCCATGCAAGGAATGCCCATTAATGTCACTGGCAGTTACAGGCACAGAACAAATGGAGAACAAGCCCCACCTCAGAAGCAGTGATGTGCCTCAGCATTTCATACTGTATTATTCCCAGACCAGATACTCAACTCTAATTAATATCAATTAGGGTTGAACGTGAGGATCACTAGCACCAAAGAGCCCAGCAAAAGTGGTAAGCTAAAGTCTTTCCTGTTTTACCTAAAATGATCACTTACAACTGAGAGCTGGTTTGAAATTTAATTAAAAATATGAGATTTTTTTTTCCAATCCCAAGCACAGATCTCAAGGAGACAGCGCAAGAAACTAGTAAAATTTCTTATGGCTTTGAAGATAAAAGTAAATTGAGCTAAGCAAATGTCATATTTAATGTTTTTCCCTCTAGCATAGAACTACTTACTTCTCAGTTAAATAAATAAATGCATTAATATTTGCAAACAATGTTGATCTCCAAAAACAGTCTGTAAAAGTAAACACATTGAATAAATTTAAACTTAAGAATTATATAGGATAATCCACAATGTCAGAAAACCTTTCTGGGCACAAGTTAACTCATTCTTAAAGCAGCAAAACAAGTGTATTCACTTGCTCTAACAGATTTACAGCCCCAGTGGTTTCAATTCGCTTTGAAACTAGAAGATGACTCTGGACCTCATACTTTTCATGGATGCAACAGAATTCCTTTTTTCTTTATTTCTACATGTTGTGGAAAGCTGGAGCCCAGCCCTCAGCTTCCACAGTAATTAAAACATTTAGAGCAGAGCAGCCCCTGCTGGGCAGGTGGCAATGGTTTAATGAGATCAGAGCTCTTAGCCCACAGCAGAAAGTTGTGCACACCCCAGAAGTGCACATTGCAGATACAGGGCCCTGCCCCTGGCTCACGCCTTCACCACCAATTTACTACAAGATCCTTCTCAGAAGACCAATGTGTTTGGCAATAGCTGGACACTAACTACTGTCCTTCCAGTGAACTGGAGAGGGGAAGGCATGGACAGACAGGAGAAGACACAGATGACACGTCAGCTGAGGGACATCTGTTCTAACCATAAGAGCCTCAAAACTTCAGTTCAGGAAAAGAAAAGGTGTTGGATTCTTGAACCCTCCTTGTGTCAAACACCCCTTGAGTGAACTGATGGAAAGGCCTCCCCTCCACAACTATTGTAAATTCAATCATCCTAGAGAGGAGGACAAATGAAATTTTATTGCTTTCCTGTATTAGTCACTCATTCCTCTTGTAAAACGCTACATGAATCCCCCTCAACTTCAGTGTCATCTCTCTGGGATGACTAACTTCAGCAAAACAATTCAGTGTGTCTGTTCTTGAGGAAAACAGCCTTCCAACTACAACCAAGACAGAAATTTTGGCTTACATAGAGAAACGTAAATCAAATTTCACTATCGTGTTCAAGTTCTAACCAAAATGATTCACAGCTTTGAAGTTTCAGACACGGAAGCAACTGAGTGCTCTCCTCTCCCATCAACAGGTCCTGGATTTCACCAAACAAGGCCCTACAAACTAATGAAACCACCATCAACAAAACTCTGGTTAATTTTCCTAGGAGGAAAAATATTTCTAGGACCCTTTTGTTTTTACAAATCAACTAGATGTTCCTCTGAATGCAGATGTTTTCATCAGTGTTTGATCTAACTCCTTCTGCCGTTGTAGGCACAGCAATTAGGACCTATGTCAGGGGGAAAAAAAAAAGCCTGTGTTTTAACAAGAAGCCAGAGTTTCAGCTGTGACACAGTAAAACTGCACCATCCCACAGAGCTTTGTAAGCTAACTGAACATTTTAGGAGGAATTTTGGAGTAGTAAGGAGAAGAGTCCTTGGTGGATTCAAGGGCAACAGTACTACATTATTGTGGAATACACAACTGTCCCACACAATCCCACGTGAGTACCCATTAGTGGGAGTGACTAGTACGTCTGTATCTTGAGTGAATAAAGAGCCAAGAGTTTGGGCCACAAGACGCTTTGTATCTTGGTATAATTATACAGGAGATCAAAGAGATCTCAAAAGAGAAACAGTCATGCAATCTCAGTTATGGAGTCAAGAGCTACGACTCCATAATCCTTGTCAAAAAGACTGTACATATGGCACATCTGGTTCCAATGTAGGATTAGAAATGCATCCTTCCATATTACCCAAAGTTCATATTTTAAAGGAACTTTAATGTAGCTGTCACAGTGTGCCTGTGACAGGATGACAATTAAACTAAATCAATTAGCAGGCTATATATGCATATAGATACCACCAAATATATCAGGCAATAAATTGCTAATATTTTCAAACATTCAGGAACAGCTCTATCAGGATGACAGTAAAAAGCCTCATGGGAAAAGTGCTTTTAAACATACTTAAACCCATTTACAGTTTTATAATGTACTAAAACTGTAGAGTAATTTTTAGGTAATGGCTTGCTAATTGCTGAGCTATCATGAGGAGGACACCTTGAGTAAGAGGAGAAAGACTGTTCTACTGTCATTCCAGCTGAGCAGACCCCATGGAACTGAAAACTGAAGAGCTTTGTAAATAGCAAAATATCTTTGACAAAAGATATTTTTTTTCTTCTTTTCAGAAAGCAAACTGTCTTTGTGGAAGAAAACATATTTCACAAAGCTAAAGTCACGATTTTTGACCTTTAACTCTTATATTTTAAACCTATATTTAGTTTGGTGAGTTGAGCTTCTTTCCTAGAAAATCTGTACATGAAAGGTAGAACATATCTAAAAAGCTTGACTCACAAAAATTGGGATAATGAAAAATAATTAAAAGCACATGGTTTTACTCTTTGCATCTGTATCATACATGTGTGTACCATTATTAATGGGAACTTCTTTCTTTGGACACATCGTCTCCAAGTAAAGCACAATAAAAATCACTTCAACTGATCCTACCTGCAAGTTGAAGATGGTTTGTGCTGATCTATTACAAACACTTCCATCAGTCTCTTACCCCCTTTGCCTCACTTCTAGTGACTCCCAAGCAATTTATCCTCCTCTAAATGTAACACTGCTGGAATCTACAAAGTCATCATTAGCTTTTCCCATGCTACACATCTTCTATACCCCACCTAAAAATGAAGCATTCTCCACTCGCAAGTTAATTTTTCCTGAGACATGAGAAGTCCAGCCTTTTACAATAAAACTGGTGGCTAACAAAGCCAAGAGCCCGCAGGAGGCTTGGTGGCCCTGCTCTGCCTGTGCTTTCAGAGCCACATTCCTCGCTGGGAAGCACAGATTCCAATCTCCCCATCTCTCAGGTTACTTTTCCACTGATGAAGCTTCCAGGGCTTGATCCAAAGCTCACGGAAGTCAATGGGAGTCTTTCAGTAAACATCAATAAGCCCCGGATCATACCCTGAAACACTATGAGGACCATATCTAAGAACTATTAAGTTTGTTTACCTCCCATCATGCCTTTTTGTTTAAAGAGACAACATGTTAAAGAAAAAAGAAAAAAAAAGAGGCAACTTAAACATTTCCTCCAGCCCAGCTTTAACTGGGGGGTGGGTCTGGAGGAAAGAGAAAGGGTGGAAAGCGACCAACCAGCGTGGTAACAGCCAGGACAAGTGACACGTGCAGTAACTTTGATGAAGAAAGTCAGCCACACATTATTAGCAAAGAGCAAATAAATAACAATACACTCTTAGGGGACTTCTCCCCTCCTGAATTCCTCTGCCAAAATGTCTCAGACAAACTGGTGCACCAGTCAGGGTCCACAAATTTGCACACGCTGGCAGGGTGCTGGGCTTTCCCCAGAGATTCCCTGTTCGTTGCTGTTTGTGAAGGGGTTTGTTCCAATCGTGCTGCCCAGACACTAGCAGGCAGGTCCCCTTACTCCTCCGGCTTTTGTACCAGCACCAAGTTTGCTCTGCAGCTCCTAACTTCATCAAAGGACTGAAGAAAACCACCCACGGGGCAGCCCCTTGGAGCAGCATTAGGGCAAAGAAAAACCCTTCCTTTGCACAACCGACCCTTGGGAGGGAGAGAGGGATGTAGAAAGAGCTTTTGGTTTTTCCCTATTTCAAAAAGAAGGGGCGGAGGAGGGTGGGGGCAGCGAGGAAGCTGACATACCCTGCTGGCGCTGGAGAGCCTGCAAACAGCCCGGTGCTGGCAGCCTTGCTGGAGTCCTGAGCTGCTGCCTCCGCTGCTGCTGCCCCCGGAGTATTTCTGCTTCACCATCCAGTCCTCCAGCCCTTTGCGAGCCAGAGAGGCGTTCACCGCGAAACTATCACCTAGAAAAAGAGGAGACAATGCCGCCGCTGAGCCGCCCGCACAGCCCGCCCGGCCCCCGCGGCCATCCCCGCTGCCTCCCGGCCCCGGGCCCGGCTGGCCGCGGATCCGCGGGGCGGGGAGGGCCGGGACCGGGACCGGGAGAGGCAGGCAGCGGGCAAACCCCGGCGGAAAGTTGAGGGGAGAGGGCAGGGGGAGCGGGGGCAGCCACCCGGACCCGGGGAGGGGGGGGGAAGGCGTGCAAAGTTGCTAGCAGTAAGGAGCCATCCCTACCTTCTGGACTTTCTCGGGGTTTACAAACGGCAGCTAAGGCAGATCCGGAGGAAAGTGTGTAGGGGAAATAATAAAGGAAGATCATTAGACACCAGTATATAAATCGCAGCAACAAACCGAGTAAAAACCCGAATAAGGGGAAGGGGGCAAAGGAAGTAGCAAGTGAAAGGAACTAACCATGTTTCGAGTGAAGTTTCCCCATCTCTCTGCATTGATCTGCAATTACGATTCATTTGACTGTTTTCAGTAGGGTCAGGTTGGCTCGTTGGTATTTGGTTGTAGATCTATAAAATCCCAGCGCGTTTAGAAATCCATGTGCTCCCGCTTCTCCCTGCTAACGCACAAGCGAGACGGAATCTCAGTTCCCCTCCTGCAGCACGGTCCGGCGTCCCCCTTCTCCGCTCCAGCCTTCCTCCTCCTCCTCTCTCCTCTCTTTCCCAAAGACAGAGGCGGTTACAAAAGACCTTACTTCACCCACCGGGGAACATGATTGACACCTCATTGAGATTAGACCACTTGCAGGCAGCCTCCGCCTTCCCATTGGGCCGCGGCGGCAGATGAAAGGG